TCAACATTATCAGCTCTACCTAACCATTGGGAGAGGCACTCTGTCATACAACGAGACACATCACCACGATGCTTTATTTCCATGACGTCAAGTGTATTCTTCTTCAGTCCTAGTCTCAGTCCAAACTTATACCATTTTGCTTCTGGGAGGCAACATTTCTCCAATAAACAAAGAACATAATCCAAGTCACCAATATCTACATAAGTGTAGGTCAAAAGTAAAATGGTGGATTTCACATCCTTACCTAAACAGATTTGATTAGTGGCCATAGTTCCATTAAAAGAAGCTACCCCAAGGCCAGGGCCTTAGAACAAGACTAACAATGAACAGTTTTGCTTTTAGGGTGGGGTCAGAAGAGGCGTGGTCTTGTTACTGTAGTTATAAAAAGGTGGGGCTGGATGTGCAAAACAACCAAGCACTGCACAAAATCAATGAATCAAGCCTGATTACAGTATTGATAGAGTCTGACAGGTATCAAAACACTAGAATACACCAAAGAAGTGAGTTTATGTTTGTATGAGCAAGCCATTGTACATTTTTTACATTGTACATTTACATGTAGATCTAGACTATTATAATGAATATATTTTATTATAAATAAATATTTATTATTATCTCTTATTTCTTGAATACATTAATGCATAAATTAATGCTGTTATTTTTGCTGTTTACTTTATAGACCTAACCACCTTACTAGTTGAGACTTCTTTTGATTGCTGTGTCATGGAAAGTGAGTCCTGAAGTTGGGGAAATTCCAGCAATCCTGGCATCACCACAGGAAATACCGGAGGGCCCAAAGAATAAACTAGATCTAGATAAATCAAATGGAAGTATTATGAAAAAAAAATAAGGATAAAAATGTAGAACATAAAATAAAAATGAGCCATCAAAAGATGCCAGCAGTATGAATACTAGCAGTATGTAGGTTCAGAGTGATGATGATACAAAGAGTAAAGAAACACCTACTGACCGAACCACTGACACTGTTTCACAAGGTGATACAAATGACCACAAAGAAGAGAAACCATGGTGATTTACATGGGGGATTTTGGAGTTAAAAATGCTCCAAAATCACCTTAGATTTTTATTATTTTGTTGATACATATTGATGTCCTTATACCGTATAAAAAGTTTGAGCTAATTTTGACTTCAATTTTTCAAGTTACGGCCATTTTAAGAAAATGCCAAAATTCTGAAAAATAATTATGACTCGGTTTTTTCCCAAAAAAATGGCTCCAAAATCACCCTAAATTTTTATTACATTTTCTGATACATATTGATGTTCTTATTCTGTGTAGCATGTTTGAGCTAATTCCGACTTTAATTTTTCAAGTTACGGCCATTTTAA